GAGAGAATGAAAAGATGAAAATAAAGTGTTTGTAGATGGGGAGGGGAGGAGGGGGTGAAGGGAGGGCAGAGGTAAGGGGAAAAAAATGAGAATCAAGACTTGCCATGTAAAGGTACATGATCCCAACAATGAATGTAACTGTAATGTATCCCTAAATGTACCAATAAACTCAATAAAAAAAATAAATAAATAAAGAAACTTACTTCAAATGTATCACATGGGCATTTGAAAATAAAAGGATGAAAAAAGTTACAATTTGTAAGCACTAGTCAAAAGAAGGCAAGAGTATCTTACTCACATCAGAAAAGTAAACTTCAGAGGAAAGAAAATGACCAGAGCTAGACTGAGACATTACAAAATGATAAAAGAGTCAATCAATCTACCAAGACATAGCAATCCTAAGTGTATATGTAGCCAATAACAGAGCTGTAAAAATTGGTAGAACGGAAGGAGAAATAAATCCACAATTATTACTCTCTCAGAAATTGATAGAGTAAATAGAAAGTCAGAAAATATATAGAAGACTCAAAACATCAAACATCACATAATTAATATATATAGAACACTCCACCCCCAAAACGGCAGAATTCAGTCTTTCAAGTACCCATAAAACACATACCAATTCAGGCACATAAAAAGTCCTCAGAAAGTTTTTATCAATTGAAATTATACAGAATATGTTCTTTGATTATCATGGAACAAAACTAGAAACCAATAAAAGTAAGATTAAAGAAGTTCTCTGAACATTTGGAAATCAAACAATACACTTATGCATAATCCATGAACCAAAGAAATCTCAGTAAAGTGACTGGTAATAAAAACACAAGTTAAAATTTGTGGGATAAAGCTACAGCAGCATTGAGAGTGAAATGGATATCACTAAATGCTTAAATTATAAAATAGGGCATGTCTCCAATCAGTAATTTAAACTTTGACAAACTAGAAAAAGAGCCACATATATACCCAAAGGAAGCAAAGAGAGGGAAATGACAAAGATAAGAAATCAGTGAAACTGAAAACAGGAAAGTTATATAGTGGTACCTAGGTTCAGGAACTTAATTCATGGAATGACTTCTCCAACCAGAATTATGGAAATAATCAAGTTCACGAACTAAGGTACCACTGTATAAAGAATATCAATGAACCCAAAAGCTAGTCCAAAAAATTTAGTCAATAAATTTTTAGTAAGACTGATAAAAAAGAGACACAGACAGACAGACAGAAAGAAAGATGGACAGAACGAAGGAAAAAGGGAGGAAGAAATAAAAAGTAGGCAGACAAATGATGAGGATCAGAAATGAAATGAAGGGTATTGCTACAGATTCTGCAGGTTTCAAAAGGACAATAAAGGGATACTATGGAGAAATCTATACACATAAACATGAATAGGCTCATTATTGAAGAACATATTTTACAACTTAGACAGTATGAAATAGATAATCTGAGTAGTTCTAAAAAATTAAGGAGATAGAATTTGTAAGTTTTAAACATTTCCAAGCCTGAATGATTTTCATTGGAGAATTCTCCCCAAAATGAATTAACATCAATTTTCACAAAGCATATTCAAGAAAAGAGACAAGCTGGGAATACTGCTCAATTTATTTTATAAGGCTAGTATTACCACAGTAACAAAACTAGACCAAAGTAGCACAAAACAGAAAAGTTAAGACCCACGTGCCTTGTAAAATCCAAAAAACAAATACCTGGTAAGGATGGAAACAACCAAAATTCTCCTCCATTTCTGGTGGTAAAGTCCATCGGTACAACCATTTGGAAAATGGTTTGGGATGATTTGCCAGTGTTGCTTAGAGTATATAGAGTATAGATTCAACAGAAATGTTCCCCTTTCTTTTTTGGTATCAAGGATCAAACTCTGAACCTTGTGCTTGCGAGGCAGGTGGCAGCACCACTGAGCTAAATCCCTGGCCCTCAGGAGAAATATTCCATATGCCAATAAAGAGCCATAAAAGGATGCTGATAACAGCACTATTCTAATAGCCCTAAATATCCCCCTGGTCACCAGCAATGGAACGGATAAATTATAGTATATGCCCACAATGGAATACAATACAGCAACGAAAATGAACAATTTCAACTACATGGAACAACATGGGTGAATCCTACAAATCATGTTTGAGTACAAGAAGCCAGGCACAAAGAGTACATTCTTTATGATGAAACCAATGATATAAAGTTCAAAAATGAGCAAAATTTTAGAATATAGGAGAGTAATTATTCATGGAAGCTGGTGACTAGGAAGGGAGGTCATTTATGTCTTCTCTTGATCTGAGTGCTGGTTAAATGCTTTTTATTTTATGAACATTCAACAAATTGTATACTTAGGGTACATGTACTTTACGTATATTGTATTCAATTTTATTGTTTATAAGTTAATTAAATAATTTAATTAATTTTGAGATGTAGTCTTGCTATATTGTCCAGGTTGGTCTGGAAATCTTGGTCTCATGTGATCCTCCTGCCTCAGCCTCTAGAGTAGCTGACATTGTAGGCATGTACAACCACATCCAACTAATTTTTATCATTTTTATTAACAATAAAACGCAAACAAATTTTGCCTACTGGATCTGGAGACCTGAAGATGACTGGTGACCTTACATTCTGAGGAAGTGGCAGGCATGGGGATCTAACACTAATTCCAGTTTCCAAATGCAGCCCTGAAGCACACACAGAGCAGTTGAAGGCCAAATAAAGGCTGCAAAGCTACTAAGTAGCAGGGCCAGGATTTAAACCCTGGAGGAAGCCTTCTGTGGTCTTCATCACTGAACTGTACTGCTGGCTTTACCTCTAAGATCACAAGGAAGAGGAAAGGCAGCATTAGACAGGACCGGTCAATCTCACAGGAGTTAGAGGCTGCCCGTGGGGGGGTCAAACAGGTGCAGGAACCTGAAGCTATTGCAGACTTTTCTTTACATCACCCACTAAAGCCACTATTCACAAAGATGGCCAGGTGTAATGTAAGAAAAGGTTAAGGATCTCAGTGTGCTGTGCCTATTGAGGCAGGGAAGTACGTGGTAAGTTTTTGAAAAATTTTGGGGTAAGGAACAAATTCTGATTATGCCAGGGAAAATCATATCTGATAAATGTTCACTCATCTCACGGTGTCAGAAGAAGAAAAATGAAGTGTGTGTGCGTGTGTTGCATGTGTATACATGCTAAAATCCTTCAGGGGACAAATCCTATTTTGGTTTGGAGAGAAAAAAATATATTATTAGTTTTTTTTTTTTTTTTAAGTATACCAGGGCACAATTGTAAGTCAAAGCAGAACAACGATACAATTAGTGTTGAAGCAGTACCTAAACTGCCATATACAAAAACACTGTCTGGACTCTTAATTATACAACAGGGATTATTGTATACAAATCACTCATTCTGTCAGTTCTTTTTATTTCCTAGGGATTAAATGCAAGAGTAAAAAATCTGGCCTGGATATTCACAATACAATGTTATCAATGGCTACAGATTGGAAAGGAGTAGCTAATAAAATGAGTGGGTTAACTGAAAGGTTTTACTGTTTTAGAGTATGTGTACAGTACGTTATTCATAATGAGTTTTAAGTTGAATTTTCATTGGAAATACTTCCTGGAAGTAGCTCAAGTATTTCCAAATTAAGAAACGTTTGCTAAATAAAATAGCCCGTGACTCCTTTTGAAATATAAAGTATACACAATTTGCAGACTTGACATGACTTCATTTATACCATACCTGTCTGAGCCTCTCAGTGAGATAAAACACAAAGGGGTAAAATCATTTGCATTTAATCTCTTAGAGAATGGATCCAAATCAGGAGGGAAGCTCTCCTACCTTTCTGCTAAGATTTCTGAGTTGTGGGTACCCACTTGCCTGGTGTGACCACACAGGAGCAAGTTAAAATCAGTCTCTAAGAAACTCAGAACAGCCCTTCTCACCCCACCAACCTTACCTCTCTGGGGTGTTCTCTGCTTGCTAAACTGGTTTCTAGATTCTTTGAACCCCCTCATATCCTTGCTGCTCCGCTCCTCTCACAGGGAGAGGAATCTCTGCCTCCTGCAACTAAACTGCCACATTCTGCGTGGACATTTTCCCTGCAAAGCCTCCTTTGACTTTCATTTTACCTCTGCTTGCTCTCGCTGTACATTATTTGTATTTACATGTCTAGACAGAAGCCTTTCATAATGCCTCTGTAGGTTTGCGATTCCAAACTCAACTGAGTGGCACACGTATATTATTATGTATCACCCGTAAAAATGACTCATAAAAAAATCCCTCTGAATCGTCTTTCTACCCATGTCGTTTATCCAAACTTGACAAAATACAGTGCAGGTGATGAGAAAAAGGAAACCCAAGCATAGAAAAATCTGTATTTAGTATTTTCAAACTTGCTTTAAGACACAAACATTTCTTGAAATGCAGAAGTTAAAGTGATGAATGTTAAGTGGATATTTTTTCACCTTAACTGACTGATCAAAAGAGTATTTATAACCCTCCTGACTGATGTCTCCAGCTGATAAATCAACAGCAAAGGAGAATATTTCAAGCACATTTATCATTTAAGACAAACAGCCTAGACCGAGTGTGATTATTTTTTATTCATCATTTTAGCTCACCTCTGTGTTCACGTTTTCTGTGTTAATAATATCTGTATAAGGCTTCTCAATATTTAATGTTACAGCTTGCCTGCTGCATACAGATGAGGGGAAGGTCACATGTTTGAGCTCTAGAAGGCCAGTTAACTTTGGCAGAAAAAGAGGCAGGGGCTATTATTCAGGGAAGCCTGATTCTAGCCAGCTTCCTTATAATAATCATAGAATTAAAGTTTTAAGGGAAGTGAAGGTCAAGATATTTCAACAGACTGGCCCAGTTGCATAGGAGCTCATAATTAGCAAAGCAATGGCCAGCAGCACAGTTTAGTTACCATGACTCAGGTTACATCCAGCCCAGTTCATGGGGTCAGTGGCGCCCAAATCAATTCAAAGGACAGCAATGTGCCAGAAAAATCTTACCTGTTCACTCTCGTCTTCATCGCTACTTAGCTTAAGGTCATCTTCTAGCATTCTGAAAGAAGGAACAAAGAGGTACAGATGCTTAGCACATTCAAAATAATTCAATGCCAAAATATCACCTTGATAAGAGTAACGTATCAGTAATGTCTATTTGATTTCCTAATTTTTCCCCTCTCCTTTTTAAGTCCTTTTCTTCTCATGTACTTAGGAAATAGCAGAGAGTTGCATGATGGAAATTAACCCTCGTAACAGTCACAGGGTAAGAACGGGAGGCTCAAGAATATGCTGTTTTAGACATTAGGGCCAAAGGGGTACATTTGCCTGGGTAGTGGTCATTCTATAATGGCTGGCTCAGTGTTTTCCTCATCCAAGTGCTGAGCTGCATCCCCAAGCCTGCCCAGGGATGTTCATGGTAAAGAACATGACAGAAGGACTGGAGCTTTGCTGTGAGCAATAAACTTGAGTGTAAGCAGTAGCTGCGTTGGCCTCTGTTAGTCCCTGGGCTGCAGGAGACATATGCCCAAAGATGCTGCTGGGTGGAGACCACCACCCCAGAGGGAGCTCTTTGCTCCTGGGAAAGGAATGTTCCACCCCCAGGCCTCATGTCCATCCTGACAGAGGCTTTGAATTCATCAGAGCTAAGAGTGAGGACAACAAACAAAACTTCAGATTACCATTCCTGAGGCTGAAAAAAATCACATTCTTACCAGCAATTGCTGAGTTATTTCTTTATGGAATAATAGTTGGCAGATTAAATCATCTCAAAAGACCTCTTCCTCAGAAGTGCATCCTAAAAAAGCGCTTGGTAGAGCAGAAGGGTTCTGCCGGGGAATCAGGGAAAGTTCACTGTGCACAAAGCCTGGGGCTTCAGGCACCCAACTGAGGGCTGCCCCGCCCTGTACTTGAAGACCTGACTATTCTCCTTGAAGTCAGCTTCTAAAGACTGTTCCTAAAATGTGCTTAGAATTTTTTAAAGATCAATAAAAGACCTATCATCAGTAGATGGCTCTGGGTATTTATAAGTGATTTTGCTGACTTTTGGGGTACATTAAGGATAAAAGCTGTCAGGCAGGGTGTAGAGCCACTTCTGCCCCAACTGTCTGTGTGTCTACAGCTAGTTACTTAACTTGACCTCTGCCTACCCCATTGCAATTCCCTATTTATACAGCGGAGTTTATGCTGGGCAGTCTTAAAGGTGTAGTCCTGCTTTAGATTTCACGAGTCTATGAATTTCTCACTTCACAATGTGGACAAATGTTTCTATTTGTTCCAGGGAACGTAACTGAGACAAATCCAAGTCATCTTTGGTAAGCTGCCGAAGCCACTACCATTAGGACATCAAATCTGTCTCCTCACAGGGTGGGCAAATAGCATTCCTTTATTTCTTAGACTCCAAGCAACGCAGGAAACATCAGCAGAGACTGCAGGGTGTCACCTATATTACTCCATACACAAGGCCGGCCATTCATTTCCTTAAGCTGCTGGGCCCCCAAGAGAATGGATATCTTGGTGATTTATTAGAACACTGGAAGTAACCTAGGGAAAGGGGTTGTGCTTTACCCTCAAGTCCCCAAGGAGTAGCACAGTGACAGTACAGAGAATGATACACACTCAGCTCAATGTGTTGGTATGCCTTGAATGAGACTCCTCAAAGTTTACGTTTTGGAAATGAATTCCCAGAATCATATGTTGGTGGCATTTGGAGGCAGGGCATTCGTGAAATGATTGTTAATAGATGTATCGATGTGGACCGTCACCTGATGCCAGTACCTTGTTCTTGTATTCCCTCATTCCAGCACTGTGAGTCAAATGCACTTATATTCTTTACATATTACTTGGCTCAGGTATTTTGTTATAGAAACAGAGAACAGACTAAGATGTGTCAACACATAAAGACACATCTGTTTGAATTTCACACTGCCTCTCATGTCTCCAGTTCCTGGCCAAGTCATCTCTTGGATCTTGGCTCTTGTTATGTCTATATGGAACTCATCCATCTTTGTCATTATTTCCAAAAGAAAAGCAGCTAGGAATCCACTTTGCTTTATGAATAATAGCCAATCTATCACTAAATGAATCTGTCATAAAAATGAGTTTATTTTGTTTCTGGGTGAGGTCTAAAAACAAAGGATCACATGTATCCACTTCCTGTTGCTGTAATAAAATACTGGAGGCAGGGTACTTTGTAGGGGAAAGAGACCAATCTAGTTCATGGTTTTGCAGGCTGGAAGTCCAGGGTTAGGCAGCCCTATCTCTCTGGCCTCTGATGAAGGGCCCTCTGGTTACAACACAGCAGGCAGTATCATGTTGGAAATGATGTGAGAGGGAGGGATCATATGGTAGCTGGAACGTAGAAAAGGATTCAGGCTCACTTTTTTATGACAACTTGCTCTTATGAGAATGAACTCACTCCATGAGACCAAAATCTCTTCTGAAGTTGATGTTCCCAATGACTGATCATCTCACACAAGGACCACCAACCTCTTACCATGGCCACAGTGGGCACTGAGCTTCCAGAACATGAACTTTTGGGAGACACATGCAAACCATATCCAAGCCACTGAAATAGGCACAAATACTTTGTATTCAGGAGAGACTTCCAGAGAAATTCAAATGAAACCTCAGACTATTTCACAGTATGAGAAAGTGGCAATAGAAACACCACAATACATACCTTATGCAAGGGCTGATCAAAAGATACAGTGCTTGTTTAAATAAATTATTACAGTAAAAACACATTGTCATTAAGCCTCTCAAAGTATTCCTCCTCCCTTTCAATATCTTATCCTACCATTCTTGCCACCTTCTAAAGCAGTTCTGAAAGTTGTTCTCCTTTGTGAGTGTCATTATGAGGTGCGATAAAAATACAGTGAATGCTGCTGCTGAGTGCCATTCAGTGGAAAGGCAGGCTTGTAAAAACATTATGGTGTGTTCTCATCACCAGATCTGGCACCATGCAACATAAGTCTCTCCCCCAAAGTTAAAATGACCATGAAATATAAACATTTTGAATTAATTCAGAACTTTCAGGAAGCCAGGACAGCACAACTGAAGACACTCATGAAAGAGGACTTCCAGGACTGCAAGAATGATGAGATAAGTGTGCTCACAGCAAGGGGGAATATTTTGAGGGGGATTCATGGCAATGTGTCTTTTGCTATAATGAATTTTTAAAAATGCAAACATGTGGTGTATTTTTCACATACACTCCCACAGCCATCCTGGCTGGTGCTATTATCAAAACATAAGACCACAGACTTTGAAAGATCAATCGTGTCCACACTGCACTTCTACTCCCAATATGTGCACAGGCTTTTGCTGGGGTAACCGAGGCTCAAAGCCCCAAACTATCCGAGAATAGGAGCTCTTCTGTTGTGTTCTGATGATTGCCAGCAGAACCCCTGGCCCACTTGTGAAGGACAATGCTTTCCCTTCTCCCATGCTCAGGTTTGGTTCAATACTCATAAGCCCTCCACTTTTAATGCTGATCCTATCAGAGTGGCCTTTTCAAGAACCTAAGGAAGAGAGTGTATTGAGATTGTAGCTGAACAATAAAACATGGTTGGAGAAGAAAAGCAAAAAGCTATGGTACCCACAAGACCTATCCATACTTGGTGTATGGCAAGTAGACTGTAGGCTGTGACTACCTCTATAGGAATGCACATAGCATCACTGTAGTGGTGTCCCAACCTTAGCTCTCGAACACTGGGGAGTGCTTTCCTCATTTTTCTATTTCCAAAAGAACTTGGAATGTCACACTTATATTAAACAACAAACAAATAAAAGCATTAAGCCAAGAGTAAAAGGACAATGACAGCAGACTGTTGGCTAGGCCCCAGGATAAGGGGCGAGGATCTCCAACTGTTTCTAAAAAAGGAAGGCAAAGACTAATGCTCTAAAGGGTCTAGAACGGAGTTTGGAGCTGGTCATCTGCAACACACTTGGCTCACATGGGTGCCTTCCATACCTTGACACCCTGAACATCTCCAGCCTTCCTCCAGCCATCCCTTTTCCTGTGTGGAGCCTCTCCCCTTCACAGCCCCTGAGTCCTGGACTCTGGGCAGTATCTCTCACTGCTAAATGACACTGGCAGCAGATGAGCTGAGCAACGACTAGACATTACCTCATTCAACTCACAGCACTCCCCAAGGTGGGAGGTGGGCACTGCTGGGGGGCAGCAGAGCACACAGAGGATCCTGGGGGTCACACTGCCCAGGATGAATCTTCATCCTGCTGACACTCAGGTAGCTGAACAAGCTGGCACCTGTCTTAAAGGGCTTCCCAGAGAGCTCATTACATACATCCTGGAAGGTGCCTAGTACAGGGTCTGGCAGAGGGGCCCTCAGTGTCCATGGTAACCAGTACATTACTGCAAGTCAGCCTCTCATATGCATATCCACAAACTCAACCAACTGCTGATCAAAAATACTCAAAAAATTGCACCTGTATTGTAGACTTTATATTTGCATTTCCTGCACAATAGAGTTTAATACATATTTATACAGCATTTACATTGTATTAGGAATTATAATCAATCCAGACATGATTTAAAGTACATGGGAGGAAGTGAACAGGTTACATGTAAATATTATGCCATTTTATGAGGCAACCATGGTATCAGAGGGAGATCCCAGAACCAACCCACCCCCATGGATATTAAGGAGCAGCTGTTATTTCCTTTTTATCTGTGAAGGGCCATGTCTTAGTGCATTTAAGAAACTCACTGGGGTGGACAAGTTGACAAAGATGTCTTTGTAATGAAGCCTTAAAATTGAGCCGTGTGCTCTCCTTTGAGGTCCCTCTGAAATGACTTTCCCTCATGACTGTGCATGGGAGTATAACGGCTGCCATGGTTGGTTGGTTTGATGGGGCTTTATGTCTATATGTCTATAGAAAACGTGCCTGCCAGCCCCAGTGCACTGGGAGGTCTCCTCAGGAGTCAGTGGGGGGCCGTATGGCCAGGAGTCCCTTGTTTCGGCTGCTGTCTGATGACAGTGAGGACACTAAAATAAAACTGAACTTTTAAAATTGAGGTCAGAGAGCAGAAGTGCA